GCCGTAGTTGTGTTAATTAATAAAAACTTAAGTATGGACAAAGGGAGATAATTGGAATTCACCTCGAGCTTTCGTTGATAAACTATTGTTTTGTTTAGTGCAATATTCATTTTTAACAACAAATATATTCAAGATAATTTCATTCAATGGATTTTACAGCAGTTACATGTTGAGTGCTCATCAAACAGTTATTGTATGAACATGATGAAAGACTATTTCTCATTCTTGTCATGTTACACTTCGATTCGTCTTATCAGTTCTAAATTCGTTTAAGTTGCATGTTATCGCCCAAGTATTTAATTAAATCACTGCAGAACAAAAGTAATCGAATAACAATCTTGAACTTGACATTGTGTAATATTATATATATATATCCATAACATTAACCAAGTCGATATATTCGAAACAACCGAATTAACTGTTGACGGACAAAATTTAGCCAAATTTCTCACAAAAGCATATGACTTCTACATAGAAAAGCAAGATATTTAAAAACATGTAAAATGTTGATTATAGATGATCACCAAATTTACCTAATTATATAATTTCACCTGAACCTAATATTATTTAAAAACAACACTAGCTAACCGATATTTGAATCTCGTAAATACATAATTAAAAACAAATCAAAATTAAAAACAAACAAACCCTACGTAATAGCATGAACCCCAAATGGAGCAATACCAGATACGCCTACCTTTATGCATGCATCACTAGCCATGCAAATCCCCAAAATTTTACAATAGCGAACAGACGACTTATCTTAATTCTTAGGGTCTAGGATTAAAAAAAACATGCTTCTTGTGTGTTGAGACGCATCGTATCCGTAATGGTAACCATGGAAATTTTGCAGTGTCAATGTCTGTCGGTTTTCCTAGAAAAATGAGCTGAATCATTTTTTCCGATGAGAGCATAACCAGTTTAACCATAACCAGATACACAAAAGGCACAAGTGAAGCTTTAACGTTATAAAATGTCAAAGATAATTGAGTTTTGAAAGTTTTTTCATACCGTAATTCTAGTTCGTATACCACAATTTGATACTTAATGAGTCCATTAATACACCTACCATGAAAACAGTACATCGAGGAAAATATTAGCTTTTAACGAATAGTTAGGTATATAGCTTAATGTCAATTTAATATGAAGGCTATGTTTGCAGAATTTATCTTTCAATTTAAAAAGGTTGGACTTCATTATAGCAATTAATTCAAGTTTACCAATATTCACGACGCAAAACAAAACTGCAGTCTAAGGTTATCCACAGCTCCTTTTATTATTTTTTTCCTTGTATAGAATTACAAAATTGATTAAAGATTATAACACAAAGTTGACTACTGTTCCCCTATTTTTGATATTTTACCTTTATATCTGTTTGTTTTGTTCACACATTGTTGTCAATATAATGGAATTTTATGCAACTGTCATACAAGTGAGAGGTTTAACTAGCTATAAAACTAGGTTTAATCAACCCTTTTCTACATAAGGAAAGGCCTGTACCAAGTCAGGTATATGATAGTTGTTTTCCATTTGTTTGATGTGTTTGAGGTTTTGATTTTGCCATTTGATAATGGACTTTCCGTTTTGAATTTTCCTTGGAGTTCGGTATTTTTGTTATTTTACTTTTTGTTTAGAACATACAGAATCAATTTGAAACAGCATGTAGAAAAACAACTTTTAAAAAGAAAATCCCTTTTCTACGTATGCCATCATGGACTGACTAATTGTTTCAGAATCATAAAATTTAATAAAATTGAGAATGGAAATTGGGAATGTGTCAAAGAGACAACAACCCGACCATAGAACAGACAACAGCCGAAGGCCACCAATGGGTCTTCAATGCAGCGAGAAACTCCCGCACCCGGAGGCGTCCTTCAACTGGCCTCTAAACAAACATGTATACTAGTTCAGTGATAATGGACGTCATACTAAACTCCAAAATTATACACAAGAAACTAAAATTAAAAATGATACAAGACTAACAAAGGCCAGAGGCTCCTGACTTGCGACAGGCGCAAAAATGCGGCGGGGTTAAACATGTTTTTTGAGATCTCAACCCTCCCCCTATACCTCTAGCCAATGTAGAAAAAACAAACGTACAACAGTATCTTAACTCATCAATCGAAATATTATATGCCATATATCGTACATTTTCGGGAGATGAGATGGTGTTCCGTATTTATTGTTTATCATAGAACTCACTCGCTAAATCACAGCCACATGAAACGGACTTTCATGCTTATTTTTAAATTAAAATGTTCACTTAAAATGGGGGTGAACTCAAGTGCTCATGAAGGGAAAATATATCAAGCTCTACTAATGAAACTTATCGTTTTACTCATTACAAGTAACAAGTTGGTGATAAAACTGAACATCTTCAACAACAAAGAAACCACAGTATCATTAATCGAAATATAATCTTCCATATATCGCACATGTTCGAAAGATTAGATGGCGTTCCATATTTTTTTATATCCTAGAATGCACTCGCTAAATCGCGGTGACATAAAAAGGACTTTCATGTTCATTTAAGGCGGGGGTAAACGCAAGTGCTCATGAAGGGAAAATATGTCCAGCTCTAATAATGGAACTTGTCGTTTTACTCATTACAAGTACGAATTTGGTGATAAATCAGAAATTTGACATTAAATTTGATATGGTGTTGATACATTAATTTCCGTTTACATGATATAAAATAATCATTGAGTAACCGACACATTTGAGAACGTTTTAACCGACTATAAATGCTTTCTATACACATGAGGATCTATTTGAAAGACTTAATTTAGTTATATTTCAGAAAATTAAAGAGGTAAACGCATTATTTTTTCGATGTTCAGCTATAGTTTTTAAAGAGCCAAAGTTGAATACAGAATTTTACCAAAATACATAGCCCAATTACTGTACCGATTTTTCCCTTACTGGAACAAGATAATTGTATCGTTAGCTATTCTTTGTTATCAAACAAGGTGAGAATAATTATGTCGGTAACGTTGTTCATGGTAATTTACAAAGATAAAGGACGTGCTTATAAACACGACAATTTTAAAATGCAATGTGTATGATGGATTGACAAATAGATAAAAAGGTAGAACATATCAATGTAGCTAGAGACTACAAATCTGCGGTTGATAACAACTTACTGTTGTTTGTCTATTTGTCCTTTTCTTTTTTAGCCATGGCGTTGTCAGTTTTATTTTCGACTTATGAGTTTAAATGTACCTTAAGTATCCGTCGCCTCTCTTTTACTGTGTTTGTCAAAACGACATCTTAGCTACATGTATATATTTTAAATCTATGTTCTTAACTTTTAGAAAGAAAAATGATTTCAATAGGTTGTATTATTTCATTCGTTTGTTTTTTACATGGATTTTTGCTTGAGGGGAAAACGCTTCAACCCCCAACAACAAGCTCCTCAAAAACCGACGTTCATTTTGATGTGCTGATGAAGTTGTTGCTAGAACAAAGTGACAATCAGAGGAAACAAAATCAGATCATTGCACAGCTACAAAATGAACTGTTTTCTACACTACAGGAAGTCACGAAAAATTATTTGGATCTCAACAAATGTACTTTGACAAATACCCCGTTTCCATTCTCAATTCAACGGAACATTAGAAAAACAGAATTATCATCTGCTTAATATAACATATACACAACAAAATCGCTTCAATGACTTAGAACAACATTATATAGCTTTACAAACTGAATATCTTCAACAACAAAGAAACCACAGTGTCATTATTTGAAATATAATCTGCCATATATCGCACATGTTCGGGAGATGAGATGATGTTCTATATTTTTTGTTTATCCTAGAATATACTCGCTAAATCGCGGTCACACGAAAAGAACTTTCATGCTCATTTTAAAATTAAAATGTTCACTTAAAACGGGATTGAACACAAGTGCTCATAAATGAAAAATAGCTCCACTAATGGAACTTGTCGTTTTACTCATTACAAGTAACAATTAGGTGATGAATCAGAAATTTGACATTAAAATTGATATGGTGTTGATACAATAATTTCCGTTTACATGATATAAAATAATCAATGGGTAACCGACTCCGATTTTGGTGTATTACCCACTGTTACCTAATTGGTAGTAAAACATATACACATAGACTTTATACGACTAAAAAAGCGATGTTTTACGTTTTTTTCGACGTTTTGTTGTATTTTGATACCTAAAACACCACTTTGAATGATGATTATGGTAAAAACGAAGTCGATGACTTTTTTTTTTTAAAAATCATTTAAAGGAACCTTCAAGTTTGAACAAAATATCAATTTTTAGGGAAAAATCTATGGATTGGTAATGGGATATTTGATGCGTTGAAGACCAATTTGGGAACGTTTAAACCGATTTTAAATGCTTTCTATACAAATGAGGATCTATTTTGAAAGACTTAATTTTACTATATTTCAGAAAATTAAAGAGGTAAACGCATCATTTTTTCGATGTTCAGTTATAGTTAAACAAGCCAAAGTTGAATACAGAATTTTACCAAAATCTGTGACATAGCCCAATTACTGTACCGATTTTTCCCTTACTGAAACAAAATAATTGTATCGTTAACCATTCTATGTTATAATCAAGGTGAGAATAATTATGTCGGTAACGTTGTTCAAGGTAATTTACAAAGATTAAGGACATATCTATAAACATGACGATTTTCAAATGCATCGTGTATAACATGTATATGGAATTGATAAATAGACGAAAAGGTGGTACAACATATCAACGTAGCTAGAGACGACAAAACTGCGGTTGATAATAACTAATTGTGTTTTTCAAAACGATATCTTAGCTATATATTTAAATTCTACTTTCTCTAAACTTTAAGAAGAAATGATTTTAATAGGTTGTTTCATTTCATTCGTTTGTTTTGCAAATGGATTTTTACTTGAAGGGAAAACGCTTCAACCCCCAATAACAAGCTCCCTGATAACCGACGTTCATTTTGATGTACTGATGAAGTTGTTGCTAGAACAAAGAGACAATCAGAGGAAACAAAATCAGATTATTGCGCAGTTGCAGAGTGAACTGCTTACCACACAACAGGAAGTCACGAATAAGTATTTGGATCTTAACAAATGTACTTTCAACGGAACATTAGAAAAACAGTATAATCATCTGCTGAATAAAACAGATACACTGCAAAATCACTTCAATATCCTTGAACAACATTATACAGCTTTACAGACTGAATATCTTCAACAACAAAAAACCCATAGTGTCGACATTATGTATATGCATCAAAACCTTTCGAATTTAGATGTTATTACTAAGGATTTGGGAAATGAACTGCTGTCATTAAAACATTTAAAGACTGTTTCTGATTTGCAAAGAGTAAACGATATCCTTAATGAAACAAAACATTTAGAGGATGAAATTCAGAAAACAAATGGTAAAGTTAATAATCTTGAAAATGACCTAGAAGCAAGAAAAAATGACTTTCTTGCACTTTTTAACAAGGCTGATCTTACAGAGAGAAAACTAGAAAAAAAAATGAATGAATTAGATAATAGAGGTAAGAAAACATATATTTGCTTTCAGCTCATGTGATAGGATATAAAGGTAAAACTTGATTATGGGGCCTTCAGTTCAATCCTAACTTAAATTAAACAATCCTCTAAGTACGAAATTGTAAAGCTTGTTTTAAAACCTGTTTACACCTTAAATGTTATTTTCTAAAGATGCATGTATCTAAAAACTTATTTATAGTCTGGGGGCTTTATGATAGATAATAGACATCAAGGATGTGATGGATGTGGGTCATTATTTGAATAAGCCGTAAGGCTTTGAGGGTTTAATTTCCCTCCCATATCAAACCCATATTTAAACTCACAAATCATATACATTTACTTTATTGCATTTCTTTTAAAAAGCTCGGGGAGATGGATGTATTGTCTTATATTCCACCCTAGTAATCACCTGTGCATGAAAACCTTCATTTCCTTAAAGTTGTTGACAAAGTTATAGATACACTAATATACAATAAATGCTTATAATTCCGCTCATACAGGTGTTAGGGGCTGTCTTAAACTTGCAATGAGGTTAATTTTTTTCATCGTGTTGAATGACTTCACTGAACAGCAATAAAAGCGCTATTGTTTTGCTTTTTGTGTTTATCGCTGTGCATATACTTATTTTGTGTCATGGGTGGATACCCCTTATCCTTTCTTTTTTTTACAATTGTATATATAACTGACAAAGGGTGCTTTTCGGAACACTGTCTGAGGCGGTATAAACATCTTTTGTTCACACCCAAAATAAATACTACCTAATAGTGTATTGTTCTAAAGTCATCTTTTTGTTGGTTTTAACATCCATATGTATACGTTTTGGTTGATTACTGTCTTAACCTGTCTAGCGTTCAAGACGGTTTTCTTTCTTGGATTTTATATTACTCGAGGACTACAAATCATTAATTCTGTGTACTGATGTGGTGCCAATAATTCTGAGAAAAAGATATAACACATTATTTATAATTCATTGATGATGATCATTGTCCACTATTGGTCATACGATTTACATCCATGCAGCTGGAAGTACATATCATATTACTTCATATTCTGGCCGAGACATTAAATTGCATTTGGATATTTAAAAGCCTGCTACATTGTAAACAACTAATAAGGTAGCAATAAGGTGGAAGACATTTCTTTCTACTCCAGTATAATATTCTGGCCCCGAGTCGGCTAGTCTGCCCATGCCTTTTACAGCTGACATTACCGTTTGGGCTTTGCTATTTGTTGCAGGCAAAATGAGGACCTGCAGTTACAGAAAAGGTGTCTCATTGACAATCATACCACAATTTATTTATATATTAGTGATTTGTTATACTAATTTTTCTACTACCCAAAAAAGTGATATTGTTCACTTCAGTTCGATTATCTGTTGATCATTATAAAATCACAATCAGATAACCAAATTTCTGTTTTATCTTTATATCTATTGTTATATTTCAGTTATCCTGGTAGCAGGGGCAACAAGAGGAAATTATACAAATGGACAAAATATAATTTTCAGTGACATTATCATTGCAAGTGGTGTAGGAAATGTTACCTCTTTTAAATCGTCTGGGATCTTTACCTGTGAAAAAAGTGGCATTTACCAAATCGCTGCATATGTATCATCCAATGCAAATCATTGTGCATTTAGTGTTCGCAAAAACAAAACTTTTATTGGAGATGCATTTGGATCAGTCGGTGATTCTTTTCATGATTTTGAAACCATGACTTTCGTTTCTGTTGTTCAACTTAACGTTAATGATACCCTTGAAATTTATTCTGATAGCACAGACGACCAGCTTATATATGGGAGTAGAGAATCTGGCATGTCAATTGTACAGATTCAATAACTTTGATTAAATATGATCTTCCAAAGAATATACCGTTTATGAAAGATTATAAAATATTAAATAAGAATTACTGTAAACCAACTTATTTTCGCGGATACTTTTTTTTGCGTTTGGTCCTTTCTAGCCCACTTTGCGGCGATTCAATTTGGCGATTTTGACTTAGATAAACAAGGAAAGATCCAAGCTTTTCATATTCGCGACGATTTATATTCGCGTTATTTTTGTACTTGCAAAAGTCTCGAAAATAAATCGCCCGCGAAAATTTGTTGGTTTACAGTATGTTACATGTATTATTATCATATTTAATTGGAACATATAAAATTGACTAGTTAATTTTTTGTGCATTTATATACCATGATAGGACAATGCGATAGCCTAAAAACCTTGAAGGCAAAAATAAAAGCTACAATTATGTATGCTGTATACTTTATTTGGTAAGCAACAGGAAATACCAACAAAAAATATTTTACTCTGATATTTTTTAAATTTTTTTTATTCATTTTACAATTACTGCGTGCTACATTTTAGCAGGAGTTGCCTCTACTTTACAAAGAAGAGATACACAGAAATACTATAATATTCAACTTCCGTATTTCATTTTACTTCTTTAATAATCTTTTTTCATAGGCAATATAAGTTATAATCCCACGGTATTTGTGAACAAAATGAACAACAAACTTGGAATATCACAATATCGTATACACCACGAAAAAAAATCCATTGGCAAACTAATGCTATCTAGCATCGAAAATAAATTTTCTGTGCAAGATAAGCATTTTCTATATTTCTTCCTGCCCTTGCCATTTGTTATGAATCATGCACATTTGAACGTTCGGTTGTTGTTTTTTTTATTATCGTAAACCTAGTAAGTAATGATGTATTTATTAGAATACTAGTAACTAAAAATGTTTAATGTTATAAAATTTACAGAATGTTAGTATCATAAATAATTGAATGAATGAGAGAGACTTGCTTACTTGATGTTTTTTTTTAATAATAATTGGTTTGTTTATAAGAATTCGCATCATAATTCTTATCATCAACTCGGATGGATTTTCTATATATAGATAACCCATACCAAAAATGATGTAATTTTCTTGAATTAAATCATAAATGAAATTCAAAGAATGGTTCTACATACAATGTGTGTACAATACATCAGAAGGTATTCTGTGATTCATGTGGTTGCTTGGCTGAAATTTGCTGTCATACCTAATATAAAAATAAGGAGATGTGGTATAATTGCAAATGAGGCAACTATCCACCAAAGTTTAAAAGAAGTGGATGTAAGCAATTACATGCAAACGTAAGGCCTTCAACAATAAGAAAAACCGATACCGTATAAATAAAAAAAGAAGATGTGGTATGATTGCCAATAAGACAACTCTCCATAAGAGACCAAATGACACAGAAATTAACAGCTATAGGTATAGTTGGCTATAAAAGACACCGACATGAAAAATATAAAACAATTCAATTGAGAAAAATAACGGCCTAATTTATAGCAATACAAATTACGAAAACAAATATAACGGACATGGACCAACGACAACCACTGGACTACAGGCTCCTGATTTAGGACAGACACAAAAAGAATGTGGCGGGGTAGTTTACATTTTGCCATCTGCTTTAACTAATATTTTAGTTCCGTCATTGAAATGAATTGTTTCTTCAAATTTTCGGAACTTTTTAAGTGTATCGTAATTGATGTTTCTTTCTATTTGACCATGTTCGTTTGCTTTTCATACAACGGATGGGTCGTATAATATAATACTAGATGCATACAAAATTCCAAAAGAGAGTAAAACAATATGCCTGTATGTATTTATTATCAATTCAAACAGTATATTAATATTGCTAAGCTGATATTTGCCTATTCTATAAATCAAGGTCATATTCAAATGGATAATAAAACCCAAATAAAGAAAAAAAAAAAGATAAAAATAATGATTATAAGAAAAAAAGTCTAATTCCAAAGTATATGATTTAATTCTACTGGTCAATAATGAATGTTCTTTAATCAAATCAATGTAAAAATCATTGCTTTCTGCTTATGATTTGCAACTAGTAACTGATTCGTATTTCTATTATAATGAAGACCTGTTGCATCTTGAAGCCCATCTCTGGCATTTAGTATTTCCTTATATTCTTGTCCATTAGCAGATATAACAACCACATTCTTAGAAGAGTTTCCTATTACATACACGTTACCATCATTGTCTACAGAAATACCACTTGGAATCTTCAGGACGCTTTCATTCTTAAATGACCACTGTACTCTACATGTACCTTGTAGATCATAACATGTCACAGAATTTGATCTGTTATTTGTATGGTACATTTTGTACCCAAATATTGCAACGTAACAAAAACGAGGTATTTCCTGTCGGACCAAATAACTTATTGAATTGTTGTACGGATAAACCAAGCGTATTCCTTTCCGAGATGTTGAACAAATAAATGTAGTGCCTTTTACCGCTATTCCGTAATAATAAGAATCAACATCAATCTTGTCTTTGATTTTTTTATTCTGAATGTCGATGATTGTAATGCATTTTATTCCCGAAGATCCAGATGTTACAGCCAATGTGTTGTCTACACTGATGTATGCTATGTCACATGCCGAGGTAGGAGTTGCCACTTCAAAATCTTTTGATCCGTCAGTGTTGAACACTCTGACGCAATCACAATCCGTAAACGCCGTTCTACCATCTGGTAACATACAACAACCCCAAATTTTTCCACCCATAGTAATTATAGTATTTTGCAGCTTGAAGTTAATGTTTTTAATTGACCTAGATAATTGTCGCGGCACCATACTTTGGGCTTGTTTGTCTTTTTTCCTTGTCAGGACAACATCAAATTGCTTTGTTTTAATATGAACTTTCCCGAAACTCTCAATATCGGCGATGATCTTCATAATAGCAGTATTGACTTGATACGATAACTTGCTTTCTTTAAAAGTTTCGCTTTCGATCAGGGACCGCAACAAATGTTCTTTTTTAGAGACTTCTTTTTCCAGTTGCTTAATAGAAAGAAATGTCTGAAGATCTGTAGCATTCTCCTTGACTTTCTCCATGTTTCTTTGGCATTCAAATATTTCATTTTCTTTTTCTTTTAATAAAGCCAGTAACTCACTAATATTCTTATGTTCTTTTTCTTCAGTTTCTTGTATTGTTTTCAATGTGTCTTCCTGTATTTTGTCTAAATGTTTGTTGATTGTAATACGTGTTTGTTTAATTTCTTCCAGAATCTTCAATTTCTCTCCAGATAAGGTCTTTAGACTGTATTGTACGGTATGTTGAATTTTCTTTATATCATCGACTAGTTCGGCAAACGAATTCTCGATCTCATAGAGTACATTTGATAGTCTTATATTTTTGACGATTTCGGCCAATTTGGCCAAATCTTGGCAATCGCTGTGATTTTCTACAATACAGCTACTACAGCAGGGACATTCATGCTTTTTACAGTATATTGTATATTTTTCATTATGTTTGTCACATTTTTGAGTGAGTTGAAGAATACCACTGGGTAGTATCTGATATTCGGTTATTGATATTGTATTATGTTTTCGTGTTCCCTTCGACAGACTGTGATGTTCTTGACATTCAAAACAAAGTCCTTCGTCACATTCAGTACACCAGGTTATGGATTGTTTTGTAATATTCCGAAGATCACATACGCTGCAGACATGCGTTGATGATGCCATTTTATACACAAACTAGGAAAAAAAAAATAGTTCATTTATGTTATTACCGATCACCATGCATGTAGCACTTACTAGAGCAGCATTCAAGCTTGTGTTAACAACCTGATTACAGAAAATTGATTATTTTTTGCTTAACGTTCAGCGGAAATTATTTCTTACATATTCAGAGCGATAATAAAGGGAAAAAAGACATAACGAATAACATGCATCAAGCAAATAAATTCGTATGATAGAACTTTTAAGTATTATGATACATTCTTTATGTCCATGTATAGTGGTGAGTTTTTCGGAAACAAATATTTTATAACGATTTTGTTTTCGATGTAATTTTTTTATGTGTTATAGAAACTGGTGTTAAACTAAAAAATGGAAACCAAGCTGATTACGTACATCTAAAATGGGAAACATTAATTATCTTGCTTTCAGCAATACATTGATTGCTATGGCGGATTTGTATTTTGAACGTTGTTAATACAGGTTCTTAACCTACATGTATAGACGATACTGTTCTGGCGTAAACTTTAACGGGTAATAGAATGATCAGTAAATGATGAATGGTTATCAAGAGCGTCACTGATGATTTCTTTGTAAACGAAACGCGGGTCTAGCCTTTAACATTATAAGTCTAGTATCTGGAATAAATAATTTTATAACCTCTGGATCGATGCCTCCTTCCCAAAGTAAGCACTTCTGCGTGATATGAAATATCATTCACTTGAATGTGGTAATTTCAATAAAAAAAAAACTGTTTTGAAAACTTTGCATTGTTCGTAGTACTGACAATTTTCTTTCCCAGGAATAGATTACTTTGGCTGTTTTTTTGCAAATCCTTTTAGACTTTTTGATTCTCAATGCTCGTAAACTTCGTTCTTTATTTTGCCTTTTAAATATATTGATTCGAGCGTCACTGATGAGTCTTTTGTAATTGAACGCTCGTTTGACGTACGAAATGATAAGCCTGGTATCTTTGATAAGTTTTTTTACATGACTGATCAATGATCGATGAATCAATGCATAACTTTGATGTTTTGATTGATCCGCTTGGACATTCGCCGTGGTCACAACGGACACATAATTAGCTACTCCTTTAAAGATTTTCAATTTGCTTATTCATATTATCGTTTCCTCTACCGGTTGAGTTTTTTAAATTTTCAAATCAACGTGAGGTTCCTTTGGCATTAGTTCTTTATTGGTCAAAATTCAACTAGTACGACGAATGTTTTAGCTTTTCTCCGAATTTCCTATTGTGACGTCACAAAGAAACAACCAAACCTGCTGATGCCTTATGAAAAACAATCTTTTTCTACAGTCAAATGACAGACTGATAAGTTCACCTACAAATCGTCAAATATCATTTGAGAAATACATTGCACCAAAGTATCATATCGCAAATCTCTTATTTTTTTTTAATTAAGCCCCACCTAGGGGCATTATGTTTTTCAGTCTGTGCTTCCGTTCTTCCGTTCGTCCGTCCGTTTGTCCGTCTGTCCCGCTTCAGGTTAAAGTTTTTGGTCAAGGTAGTTTTTGTTGAAGCTAAAGTCCAATCAACTTGGAACTTAGTACACATGTTCCTTATGATTCGATCTTTCTAATTTTAATGCCAAATTAGAGTTTTGACCCCCAATTTCAAGGTCCACTGAACATAGAAAATGATAGTGCGAGTGGGACATCCATGTACTATGGACACATTCTTTTTTAAAAATGTAAACGTGGAGTCGAGATATATCGTACACACTAGTAAACTATATATGTATTAGATAGAAACACGTAGCATAAGAGCGAATGCTAGAAAAGAGTTTCATAACGTAGATTGTCAAAGCAATATCTAAATATATCCCTTTTTGTCAGCTTAAAGGGCATGAATTCAGTGCAAATAACTTATTAATGGATTTTAAATGTAGGCAATATGTTACAAAGAGTTTATGGTTTACATAAAAACCGTTTTAATCGTTGGTCAAACGATACATTTTTAATCTGAAAGAAAGGCAAATTAAATTTAATATTTTAATTTATCATGTGTTAACCATATTTTGTTCTGGTATACATTTAAAGTTAACAATCGTGAATGTCTACTTGTGCTTCGTTTATAAGAGCAACATTTACAAGCATTACAGTATTATGTATGTCTAATATCATTGTATCTACGTTTTCCACTGAAAACATTATATGTTTCAATATTGAGAAAGGTGCACGTGTTTTATGAACACAAAACATATATTCAATATTCAATTGGTATTATAAGAAAACATGATAGCTTAACAGTGAGTAATACACTTTCATTTAAAAATTAATAACAAAAATATTGTTTTTCTAAAGATGGGGGTAGGGTTAAAACAAATCTTAACACTATCTGAAAATAGGCAATCATTTACAGTTTAAACTAAGCAAATGATATAACTATTCATTTTTCTTTGTTCATTGTATGTACTAGTACTAGCAAGATCAATAAAATAGAAACTATACATTTGGTAAAGGTATCGAACTCGATGCAGTGGTATGTTATCGTCGGTAACCGTGGTATTTAAAATGTATCTTTCGACTTAATTCTCGAGTTATGAAAGATGTTTTACCGCTTCTTAGATTTGATATTTAAGAACATCTGCAAGTTCGGGAAAATATTCTGCATTACGAAACATGGCTGAGCATACGAAGATACTATCCGTTCAGTCAAAATGAATAATTTACCACATATTGAAGTTTTTCGAGTCACAGATTCAGAAACCGACGACTACTCCAGTTTAAACCTTTAAAGAGACAACTGCAGAAGCTACCATGATCAGCGCGGATACTATACGGAGAATTTATAAAAAGAACAGATGAAAAAGTGAGACCTTTTAACCAGTGCGGCAGAAAGTTAAAATTTTCAAATGTATGTGGTATATAAAAATCTGTGATAAAAAGATAACTGTCAATTAATGTGTCTTACTTTTTACTTTGCTAATACACATATAGTGTTTACATATTTTACCTGGATCATTGACCATAACTGAACACTTCATTGATGAGTTTGTCACAGAATCCCTGTCTAAAGATGGACAGGTATATGATAAGGGAACTAGGTAAGCCCCAACAAGTCACCACAAATAAATCAAGTAAAACAGTTCACAAAAATAACAGTTGTACACAATATACGCTACTTCCCCAAATTTAAAAAAAATATTTCTTTTTTCAGAACAGCACGAATAATGAACTAGATTTTCTTTAACTAGAAGAAAAATAAACATTGTTTTTAAAATGACAGAACATTTAATGGAGGAATATGCAGGAAATGTAATATACATACGTGTCAAGTTACTCCATCAGAAAATAGCAATTGATGTAGATCATCTGCTTTCTTCAAACATACACAAGCAAGGCAAACACCAGGTTAATATTGATTTGTAATGACGGTGGTGATCATGTATACAAAAGTGCAATGTATCGTGTGGAAATCGTAGTTAGATTAAAAATAGTTTATGAATATTATCAGCATGTTACCAATGTTTGATTTTAGGATAACGAAATCTCTTAACAACTTAATATTAGGTTGAAGTATTTTCTCTGTAACAGTAGGTATAATACTAGTACCCATACGCACTGGGAAAATTTTTGTTAAAAAAATGGTTGGAGGAGGGGAACATCTGCAAAAATATGTAAACACATAAAATAACAGTCGGTTTGTGAGGTAACGAAAAAAGAGCTCAGCATTTGCATCAAACATAAGTGCACATGTATAAACTGCAATGATTATTAGTCCATTCGTAATGGTTATACACTTAGTCAATATATAATCCTATCATGCACAACGCCGTTAAATTATAAAAGATTATAAGGCATACACACATGTTTATTTATTGATTATGGATGTAAATTCATAAAAAGAAAACGTAAGTTATATGAATATAGATTTATGGTGCAAATTAAAATTACAGATAACAATTTTTATGTATTTTCATGTATGTGTTCATTTCAGCCGACAATCACCATTAATGCTGTACTTTGTAAACGTAGAATTTCATATCGATAGAGGCATATACATTGGTTTTAAAAGACTGTTATGATAACCACATCTACCGGTTGTGTATATAGCAGGCATGGGGTAATGCAAATGTGTAATTGTAATGCATGGTAATGCATTACATTTTCCCAAGTAATTGCATGTAATGTGTAATGCAGGATTTTTAGCATTACATGCAATTGTAATATAATGCATTACTTTAGCAAAAATCTGTGTAATTTCATGCATTACATTGCATTACATGGCATTACTTTTTTTGTATACTATATATATTTAACAGATTGTTGGAGATTTAACTAAAATAGAATTGAAGATTTCTTGATTAACTCAGAACATAATCATTTAATTAAAATATTGATTTTCTATTTACCATTATTTTTCACACTTTACCTAAATCACCAGAGGGAATTTGGAGTTTAATCCTTGCCCCCCGATAGAACTTGAAATTTTTTTTAATCTACTTCAATGAAAAATAATCACTTTGCAGTAGAATTTGATATTTTGAAGATACATGTCGAACTCTCTAGATCATTTTGACTTTCCTGGAAATATTGATAACAGGAATACAAAGTTCAAGGCAAAATGCAAACATTGCTTTTCTTTTATATCTGGTAATCTGAAGATCAAATTTTGTAACTCATCTTAATGTAAGATTTTCAATAATTAAGATATTATATTAATATGTAAGAAATATTTCACAAATATATCAATAAAAAATAAAAATAAGATTTGTATAAATACTAGCATGTCCAAATTACAATTTTAAAAGAATTACACAACACTGTAAATCAGACACACTGAGTTATCTTTTTTTAATGTCTTTTTATTTCATTCTATTTCCTGCATTTTCCTGCATAAACAAAAATTATATATGAAAAGCTATATACTGTAAAAGTGTTCCATTGTTGTCAAAAGATGAATGTATATCTCGTCTTGATTAAATAACAGATAATTGAACATTGTCATAAAACACTAATTTGTTTGTTTTACAATCAATCTTTTCTCCATTTGTCATAAATTAAGCTCTATGTTTATGACATAATTAGGAAAGATTAGTAAATATTTTGATTGAAATTAAAAAAAAAAAACCAAAAAAAAATTAATGTATTTTTATAAAAGAAAAGGTAACATTAAGTAAAAATATGTATTAAACTACATCTCTATAGTTTCTTTTTATAGAAAACACAGAGATATATACATTAATACCTTAAAACCAAAGACAAAAGAGCAATCAACTTTGATAGGTTTTGTTAAAACTGAGACTATAGTTAAGTAGTCTCAGGTTAAACAGACTGGAAATCAGAAATATCATATAAATGATCCGAAGCAACAACAAAAAAATCAGTATAGCTGGTAAAGTATTCAGGCCTGATAGAATGCGAATGAAGGATGACGCAATTGAAACCCTAATGATGCTGAAATGCAATAGTCGTATTGAATAGACTTTTTACATATATACTTATACATGTTATATTCAATGAATGGAACAGTTACTGAATATGCTTTTGTGACTTTATGTTGTTTTTCAAAATGTCTGAATTTTCTTTTCACTTGATGATAAAATTTACAAATGTAATGTGTAATTCAGTGCATTACTTTGCAAAAGTAATTGTAATGCAATGCATTACATTGATAAGTTCATGTAATGGTAATTGAAATATAATGCATGGTTTTTGTCAAAGTAATTGTAATGTAATGCATTACATTGCAATGTAATTCGCCCCATGCCTGGTATATAGTAGCATAATTCAGAATACTTCACAATACATTTCTTTATTTATGAGTTGAATTTAAGAAAGTAGTATTGATATAAATCTAAAAGTCCGAATCAGCATTAAATAAAATATTTGTTTGCAACTACTTTTTGAAGATACTTTTCAGTTTACTCATGACTGGTGATTTATTTAACATTTACAGAAAGTGGATACACCGACAATTTGCAAGTCAGCTTTTGTCCAGTGATACTTTTGAAAAAGCTGTTCATTGCTGATTATATGCAATAATATAGATGTGACATTTTCAGAAAAATGAACTTTAATTGAGCATAGAAAAACAAGAATGCATATTGCTAGTATTCCGGGTAGTATATTGTATGCCCTGTCACTGCTTATAAGAATACGATTAAATACATTCCGGGCCATTAATAAATTTTGATTATTAGTACTTTTTGCATGGTAGTAGTTCTTGGTGATTCAAATAATATTAGCTATGAACCCACTTCGAAATTTCAAAATGGCGGCCTTTTCCAAGATGGCCGCCATAAAGTATCAAAATTACCATATCATTGCATATATCACTTATATAAGGTCAAATCTATGGTCAAATGTGCATGGCAGTAGTGTTGGTTGTTTTAAAACATATAAGCTATGAACCTACAATGAAAATTCAATATGGCGGCTTTTTCCAAAATGGCCGCCACAAAATATCAAAATCAACAAATATCCTTTATATTAGTTACATTTGGCATGTTAGTAGTGCTGGTTACTTATAACAATATAGGCTACGTACCCAACTTGAAATTTCAATATGGCGGCTTTTTTCAAGATGGCCGCCATATGATATCAATATTGAAAAAAAATCCCTTATAGAAGGTTACAATGTGTTTTGTTTTGACGTACCTTCAGTTAAGCTAAGTGCTCAATAACACCAAGTGTATGCAAACATTTATTTACTAAAGTCAAATATAAAAAGATTTGTGAGGAAAGTATAGAGAATCGTTACAACGATACCATTCCTGCAGAACAGTAGTCTACAACGAGAGATCACGTATTAAAACTGGCGTTATTCCAATATTTAAGCTAGACTTAACTAGAATATATACTTCTGGAGTCGGAGAATGTTCTCTGTAATCAACTGGAAGAGGACAAAGTAATGATCTAAAAATTGCAGTACTATTAGGCTTGCAAGGCCATCACCAAGGCAGGTGCTTGCTTCTTCTGTTTAGTGATTAGTTTGGTTTTGCAATTAAACAAACAACCGTAACAATCTGATTGTATGACAACGATACTTTAAAAAGCTGCACATGCAGGTAATTCAAAAAGACATAATGTAAGTAAAAGTCTTTTCAACAGTCATTTAAAACAAAAGTTGACAATTGTTTGGCCAAATATTCAGATGCAGTCGAGTTATTCCATGAGGGAAATATGACATTATCCATTTCAAAGATAATTCTGTTCTATTTCTGTATTATTTTTTAACATTTAATTCAACTGTATAAAAACCATCTCATAATGTATATACTTGATGTTAGGACCAGAAAAAGAGGAGGTACTACTAGTAAATGACAAAATGTACAGTTTACGTTTGTCGTTTATGAATGATCCAATTATCCATTTATCTGCAGTACTAGAAGATTCCATTTATGAAAAATTCAACATTGCATAAAATTATGTGGTTCCTTCCACGAAACCTTGTGGTATTACAACCGCAGCCGCGGACAATATTAACAACAACAAGAGTTCAACTACGGCTAACGAATCGTTCCACAGTACGACAATTTCAATATTTCAGCATTTTCGTAGACTAACTTGGCAAATTCGTTATAACCTTTTGCTTTGAAATATATGCATGCGTTTCAAACTTACATCTAATAATAGCCGTTTCATGGACAAACACTCTGCCAATTGTCGTACCAGATATATATAAATTATATATATATGCCAACCTAGTATAATTACTCAATTGTGCAACACTATCCTTGCTTGGTATGAATAAGTTAACAAAATGATAACACAGATGACTTCAAGCAGATAATAATGAAAACTTTTAATATGTCTGGACAGCATTCCACGCATGTAGAGCCAAGACAAATGGTCATCCGCCTTTATATATCAGTTCGCATTGACCAATGTTACAAGAAGAGATCAAACCTGTCACAATGATTCGACATTTCATGAATAAAATCCAGCAATGTGTTAATATTTTCCGAGACATGTATCAATTATCATTTGTGATCAATTGTCTTTTTATTATGCAAAATCGGAACAGTGGAAGTGGCCAAACATATTTCGAGCAGAATAAAGAATAGATTTGTTTAAGGTCTTTATATAGAAATGACATCGTTCAGAACCTTATGTGTTTGGTTAGAAAACAGTGGTTGAACAAGTGTTCGATCAAGGAAACGTAGTACTTAATGAATAGCAGTCTTTTAAGAGGCTCTCATGCATCATGAACAAGACATGTCCATGAGGTTACAGTAGGTGTGCATAATGTTAACTGAGGAACGAGAACCTGGTGAGAACTATGTAACATTCAAAGAATGGAGTAATGAGAGGGAAATTTAAAGTCCCTCTAACCGCAATTGGCAGGCAACATTAAAGATGGAATTGAACATTTTGATGTGAGATCATTAAGAGACTGTTCCT